GGCGAGAGGTGGGAATTTTCTCTCAAGTGGCTTGGGGACCTGGATCCTGGGTTGGAGAGGGGAAGCCGTTCCGAGATGGGGGGCGCTGGGAACTGTATGGAATAGGGTGGCCACGAGAGGAAGTTCTTTCCAATAAGGGCTTTGGGAAAGGGGGGGGTGACAAATTGGTGGGGAAAGTAGTAATTTGGTGGGAAGGACTTTGGACTAGAGAATGCAGTGGAAACGCCCCCTAAAAAGTGATCGGTTTAAGGGGAAAAAAGAAATCCCACAACAGGGTTTTCCTTTGAGCTGACACTGGCTTCTCCCTCTGGCAATTTACCTGCTGAGAGCACAGGTCGGTTTAGGCACGCCTGTGAAAAAAATCTCAAAAGTAGGAGTTTTCTGCTCAGGCACGTGCAATTTTACAATTTTATATTCTTCTGGTCACTTTTTATAAAAAGTGGTGGTGTTTTATAAATGTGATGGAAAGGATTCATGACAGGGAAAACCAACGTGTAACAGGCTTACAAATGTGAGAAATCACTGGGAATAAACCCTTTACTACTGAATTAAACTGGATTTAGAATTTTGGTGTCGGCTTACTTTAAATAGAAAGTTTGATTTTTTTGGAAATTTTAAATCAAAAGTTTTGGGACTCCAGTACTTGCTTCAACAATACAAATGCTATTCAGCTAATCTTTGTATCTTTAGAATAAGCACTCAGTAATTCTTAACTATTCCTGTTTAGTATTTTTACCAAGATTAATTTTTTTAAGATTAAGCCACCCCTCCAAAAAAAAAGATTAAGCCCTCAAATTATGATTCGTTTCTCACTGTCATTTCAGTTGAAGGAAACTGAAGATGTATATGCAATGCCACGTATATAAGGTCTGGTACATTAAGGAGACCACCATGTCAGATTTCCAGGAGCCATTCTAAATGATCTCATTCAAATTGCTGTCCTTTATCATGGCAACAGTGACTTCAGTTACCACAGGGAACCACAACAAGGTGATAAAGCTTATGGCATATCCACTAACCTGGAAAACAAGCCTTCTTACCACCCACCTAAAGCCTTTCTAGTCCTCAACTTTAAAACTCCAACTTTATCATGATTCATAAAGTAATATGTGCATGCTTCTTAACCCTTACCAGGAAACCTGTATGTACCAGGAATTGTCATAGAATCAAGAAGTCCAAAATGTGGGAAAAATTTGTAAGTCATCATTTCAGCCTCCAGCCTCCTATCTTCAGACAGAGCTATCCCTCAGTCACTCAAATACATAGAAATTTTGAAAGATCCCCACACATGTGTTTGGTTTCAGGAGTCCTGGTAGAATAGATATAGTTTTTGAAATGACATTCCCTGTTCTATGTTATTTGAAAACAGCAACCAAAAAAATCTTTCTAAAACCAGGTTGTATATATTTTGTGCTTCTGATGAAAAATACATAAATTCAGAGGAAAACAATAAGCAAATGTGAAATTTTCATCCCAACCGAGTTGGGATGGAGGAAATAATCTAAAAACAGTTATTAAAATTGAGACTTCCTCTTACAAAAATTTGACTTCTGATACTTTAAAATCCATGTACACACTATGAGTACAACCAGTAAAAAATCATATATGTATAAAGAAGAGAGGGGCGCCTGGGTGGCTCAGTCAGTTGAGCCTCCAGCTTTGGCTCAGGTCATGATCTCAGGGTTTGTGAGTTCGAGCCCCTCATCGGGCTCTGTGCTGACAGCTCAGAGCCTGGAGCCTGTTTCCGATTCTGTGTCTCCCTCTCTCTCTTGCTCCTTCCCTGCTTGTGCTGTGTCTCTGTCTTTCTCAAAAATAAACATTAAAAAAATTTTTTTTAAAGAAGAGAGCTGGCAGAGAAGACAGGAAAATAAAATGTTTGATTCATTGATATGGCTAGGACAGTGGGTGAATTTTTTCTTTATTTTTTGTTTGCATATATCATATACTTGGATACTAAATATAATAATACTTAAAGAAAAAAACCAAAAAACCTGAAAACGATAGTTGGTGTTTCACTGTTGATGCTTGGGTTGGACCCTGGGGAAATAAATCATGTAATTGAAGGGCTCCTTCTCTATAAGTGTTTTCCCAACCACCAGTCTAGAGGGATACTAGCCCTCTTTTGTGTTACTAGTCCTTATCTCTAACCCTGGCTAGTGCTTTATGGTTTGAGAATGACCTACTGAGGGGGAATTAAAAACCCCAAAATGTTTAGAAAAGAATTCACTGCTCTCAAAGACTAATCATTATATCAGCTCATTTTAAATATACAGTTGTCTGAATCATAAAAAAACTAAAAGTTCATTTGCAACCTTCCAGTTTTACATATTAACTACAAGGCCTAAGGAGTTAAATTGACCTCTGTGAGCCTCAGTTACATCATCTATAAAGAGAAAGACTACCTGTGCTGTACCCACTGGCAGAGTTGTTAGAAAAAACAATGTGTATTTAAAATAAGGATGGTTTGTTAGCTGTTATGCAAAGTAAATTATTAATAATCCCACCCTGATACTAATTCTCAGGAATTTGTTAGGACATTGACTCTTTAGGACTTAGAATTGATGACAAATATAAAAAACCTCCTAAGAGAAAGAAAGAGTCAAGGAATAATAGAATTTTGTTTACTAGAAGGGGCCTAAGATATAATCAAGTTCAAATTCCTCATGTTCTAGGTGAAGAAATTAAGACAAAGCCTGTAGGTCTTGTTGAAGGTCATGCAGCAAGTCGGTGGCAAAATTGTGGTTTATGGCTCATGCTGACTGCAGATGATTTTGTCACTTTTGGCAATTTGGGGGCGGGGGTGGGTGGTGGGCTGCGGTAGAGGGGGAAGCCTCAGTTAAAAAATGTGTATTGGGGCACCTGGGTGGCTCAGTTGGTTAAGCATCCAACTTCGTCTCAGGTCATGACCTCACCGGTTCGGGAGTTCGAGCCTCCTGTTGGGCTCTGTGCTGAAAGCTCAGAGCCTGGAGCCTGCTTTGGATTCTGTGTCTCCCTCTCTCTCTCTGCCCCTCCCCTACTTGTGCCCTGTCTCTCATTCTCTCTTTCAAAAATAAATAAACATTAAAAAAATTTTAAACAAACATTAAAGTATATATTAACATATGTATTAAATATAATGTATACATTATATATTAATATATATTAATATACAATATATGTATTAAATATAAAAGAACTCTATGGGCTCCTGGCTGGCTCAGTCGGTGGAGTATGTGACTCCTGATCTCAGGGTTGTAGGTTTAAGCCCCACGTTGGGAGTAGAGATTACTTAAAAATAACATCTTAAAAAAAGTCAGATAATATTTTCAAGACCATATTAACAATCAAGACAATTGGGAAACTGAAAAAATGGGAACAAGTTAAAGAATCACTGCTTTTATAACATTTACTTAAGCCAAATAATGACCACCACCAAAGT